ATTTTGGGTCATCACCGAGTGAACTTAATATCGGCTTGCTCCATATCTCTCTCTCTCTAAATTATATATATATATATATATATATATATATATATATATATATATATATATATATATATATATATATATATATATATATATATATATATATATATATATATATATATATATATATATATATATATATATATATATGAGTAAAATTTGAGTGAATTTCATGGTCCCTGCACTCCTTGGGCCTGAGAGGTGCGGCTAAATCCATCAGAATTAGTGCTATTTTGTAAATCTTCTTCTTTTTTCATGTAGACACTACAGAAGTCTTCATTGATGTTTGTCGATAAAATTCAGTACATATTTATGATGAACAAGGGTGCCTCTTCAAAAATTGTGAATTTTATGGCCCCTTCTTCAGGGGTTCTGGTGCTAGGGTGGCTATTGATTATATAGTGAATATACATTAATTATTTGAAAATCTTCTTCTGTACTCCTGGGTATTAAAGAGACTAACTAATTACATAGTTATGATGAGCAAGGTTGCCTCTTCCAAATTTGTGAAATTCAAGGCCCCTGGTTCAGGGTTCTGGTGTTAGGGCGGAGCTCTATTGATTATATAGTAAAAATGCATTAATTCTTTGCAAATCTTCTTCTCTAGTCTTGGGTATTAAAGAGACGTACTAATTACATAGTTATGATGAGCAAGGATGAAAATATTGTAAATTTCATGGCCCCTGGGTCAGGGGTTCTGGAGTTAGGGCGGGCCTCTATGGTTATATAGTGAAAATGCATTAATTCTTTGAAAATCATCTTTTTTTTTGCTCCTGGATATTATTTAAACAAATAGTAAGTGCATAGTATGATAAGCAAGGATGGCTCTTCCAAAATTGTGAAATTCATGGTCCCTGGGGGTTCTGGTGAAAGGGTGGGGGCTCTATCAATTATATAGTGAAAAAGCATAATTTCTTTGACAATATTCTTTTTTGCTCCTTGTTATAAAGCAAAGAAACTAAGTGTATAGTTATGATAAGCAAGAGTGCTTCTAGAATTAGTTTCATGGCCCCTGAGAGAGATGTTCTAGTGTAAGGAAGGAGCTCTTTTGATAATATAGAAAAAATGCATTAATTCTATTTAATAATCCTGTCTGCTCCTTAGTGTCGAGCAGATAAACAAATTGCATAGTTATAATGAACAAGGATGCTTCTTACAAAAATTTTAAAACTTGTGGTCCCACGGTCAGGGATTCTGGTGTTTCTTGGGGGATGGGGGCTCTATTGATAATATAATGAGAAAATGTGTTAATTCTTTAAAAAAATCTTCAACTAAGTGCATAGCTATCATGATGATGGTTCCTCCTCCAAATTTGTGAATTTCCTGCATGACTGTTATGGGTTCTGGTGTTAGGGTAGGGATTTGTTGAATCTGTAGTGAAAATGCATTATTTCTTTGAAAATCTTCTCTGCTTCTAGGCATATCGGAGACAAATAGAGTAAAAGTTTTCATTAGCAAGGGTATTTTTACCAGAGTTTTGAACATCTGGATCATTTGTTCAAGTGTTCTGGTCCTGGTCAAGGCTCTATTAATTTGTATTCTACTGAGAGAAGTTATTCCCCTTTGCCATTCACTTTTGATAAGTATTTACTGTAAATAATGTATTTGAAAGGTTAATGGAATAAGAGAATTATGCAAGAATTTTTGGCATACTATAAAACTTGGCCTGGCCTGGTCTCTAAGTTGGCCTGGCCTCTATTCTTGCCTCTAATTTGACTCCAAACCAGATTTTGGCCTGGCCTCAAAAGTTGGCCTGGCGTCAAATTTGGCCTCTGTAAAACTTTTTGGCCTCTATTTTGGCCTCACCCAAAAATGATTTCTATTTTTTTTAATTTGATTGGTTTGATTGATTTTTTATTGGTTTTCAGTTTTTCTAAGTTAAAGCAGATGAATAATATATTTCTGTTGGTTTGTTAATGTTCAGATTAAAATAATCATGAACTGCCACCAATCTGATTTATTTTATTGATTATCCATCAATCAATTTACATATATTTCTTCTAATGATTTGAAGGCCTTTGTTGTTTGCAAACATGTCATACTGGCACACTACTGATACACTTGCTTGATTAATTACAAAAATGTCTCAAATTTGTATTTTCCAAATTGTGCACATTGAAAAAAAACTCTAGTAATAATCCATATCAAATTTCACAAATAGCTTAAACAAATTCCCACTTGTTAAGTGATGAATCATCACCCTTCACACACTGCACCGTAGTTTGCCGTGTTACTGTTATGTCTGCATTCTCTTGAAATTGATATATGAAGTGTAGATATTTAGGAATTTTTAAATAGTAATATACTACCATAAACTAAATTAATGCAGATATCAAAAATGTTTATATTAATTTTACTCATTTGATTACTCTAAGTTATATAGACTAATCTCAAAATGAGATGGAATTTAAAACTTTAAAATAACATAATCAGATAATTAATAACTTTCTGTTTCAGTGCAGTAATACTGTAATTGGATATCGGATCACAAAAAAAATATTTGCAGCATGGTTCTTGACAAGGAGTCAAGGTTAATCAATGATGCAACAAATATGTGCATAGTCAGTTAAGCCACACGTTTTGTAAATAATTTCCTGCTACAACTTTCTTTTTCCACAATTATCAAAACAAAAGGTGATTTTGATAACAGTTTAATAACATTGAAGTGAAACAATTGCATCCTATCAACCAGTCAATAGTCAACCAGACTATTAGGACCCTTAGCATTTGGTCAATTACTTGCATATCAAAGTGTTGACAGTATTTTCATCATTTTAAGGAAAATGGTCCACGTCATAAAAAGGCATTTTTTCTTCTTAATAACAACAGTTTTAAAGTACAAACCAGGAACACTTAAAGTAATAGACATAAATTCTTTTTAGTTCTTATGTTATTATAACTTACCTGCACTCATTTCTTTGTTGTCTTGATAATTTGAATTTATGCTTCTAAACTTTTTTTACTGTGTAGATATCATCAATTCTGCTTTGGAAATTAAATAAAATTAAAGTCACATTTACTGAAACATTGTGGTATTTTCACATTGAATGGAAAATTATATGCTCTGTGTTATTGTCTTCAAAATTGAAACTGATCAAAGATAATCGATTAAATAAATCAGAGTGGTGATGGTGTATGATTATTTTAATCTGAGCATTTACAAATCAACCGAAATATGTTATTTTTCTGCTTTAACATAAAAATAATCTGAAAACCAATAAAAAATCAATAAAATCAATCAAATTCTGAAAAAGAAATCATTTTTGGGCGAGGCCAAAATAGAGGCCAAAAATTTTTACAGAGGCCAAATTTGAGGCCTGGCAAAAATTTGGTTTGTAGCCAAATTAGAGGCCAAAATAGAGGCCAGGCCAACCTAGAGGCCAGGCAAGGCCAAAGGGGCCAGGCCAGGTTTTATAGTATGCCAGAATTTTTACTGTGTATAACAAAAAGTACTTTAATAGTTTTAATGATCAGGTAGACTTGTAAATAATAGATAAATAAAAAATGAGACAAAAATAACTTATATTATTAAATGTTCTTCAAAGATCAAGGAAGGGCAATGTGGAAGTTATGATATGGGGTTAAAAATAGTACAGAAGCACTGATAGTTAGTTAATAGTCTTTATGGTGATAGTGATAAATGGGGGGCAGATTAGGACTTGATTTATGAGTTGTTACTGAATACTAGACTATTTATTTCGTTGATCCTGATCATCCTATTTCTCTATCAGTTTTCACTTATCAGTTTGGTTTATTCTCTATGGATCCTCTACATTGTTGCATTATACTCAGGTGACTATTAAGGCCCTTGGGCCTCTTGTTATCAATTTTAGAGCACATTTTGTTTCAGAAAGCACAAAGCAAAAGCTTGTCTATTTACCAAATTTATATATTTCATGCACTAGTATCAGATACATCTTATGTATGAAAATCTCAGGAGACAAGCTTGTGCTCTTTGTTTCCCAAAGTGAAAAGTATCTCAAATTTGATGAAATTCAATCGGAATTGAGGAATTTTGGTAAATGTTCTACTTTGTCATCCTCTTGTGACTCCTGTATATACTTTGAATCAATGTTAATGCTGGTTTTAAATCAAGCATTATTCTAATTGGAAACTGCCACAATTTTAACTGATTTTTATCCCAAATAAGGGACCAATTCAGACTTTACCGTAGCTTGTCCTCTATCAATCGAAAGTATCAATATTGATACCTGATTAATACATTAGGCTGACGGCGGGTATGATCGGTCAACAGGGAATGCTTACTCCTCCTAGGCACCTGATCCTACCCCCTTGTGTTTCCAGGAATCCATATTTTTGCCCTGTTAACGATATGTATTGTTTATCGGATTTATGAGATTGATCACTTTTCGTTATTATTTACCTTTACACAGGTATTTACTGATGAGATCTATCATGATTTTGAGCATCAGATAATTAAAGGCAACTACGGTGCATCGTACACTTTATAATCGCTCTGATGTAATGGAAAACCTCTTACAATATATTGATTTTATTTTAAATAATAGCAAAGTTTTTGTGCATTTTAAGCTCAAATGATTTTTCTGGTTATTATCACCATTACTATTAATGTATCGATATTACCTGCTGATTTCACGTTCATTTGTATTTATAAGTTCAGTTGATGAGGCCACATAATTAAATAGACATTGTCGTCTTCCCCGGAAGAGGTAACTAACTTGAAGATTACTTGTTGCTAAAATTAGTCAAACTTGATTCCAGGTAAACAAGCTATTTCCGTTATCATTTATGTGCTTAGAATTTTAAAGACCTGCAAAGCTTTAAGTTCAAATGCAGACAATCGGTAAATAGTCAGTCTTTTAGGTTTTGGAAAATTTGTGATTTTGTGCCTTATTTGCGAATACTACCTGGTCGATTTTTTCAACCAATGGTTTCATTGGACTGGTAGATCGGGAATTTAAATGAAATTAGGTCAAGCATATGATAATATAGAATGTGCATTAATTAGAGGACATTCTTTCCTAATTTTGGTGTAGGATCCTTGCGCTATCAATTTTAATCTAGTGTTTTATTTTTCTGTGTGAAAAATCTTCAGCTAGCCACATAAGATCAAATCGGAAATGGAATTGGATTGTGATTGAATTTCAAACTAGAATACACACACTTTAAAAGGTAAGGAGAAGACAAAGGTTTCTGAATTTTTTGGACATGTTACTTTCTATCCGTTATAGTAAAAATGTTCTTTTCAAATGTTCTTTGTAGGATTGGTTTTGCAATTAAAACAGAAATTATGTGTCTAATTAGTTTCTCGGAAATGTCATAGCATATATTACAATATTTTGATATCTTATTAAAATATGTCCACTAATTTAGTTTGCGTTGCTGCAAACTCTGCGAAAAAATATAATGCTTTTGATTTAGGTACATGAAATGGGTGTGAAACGTTTTGTACCATCTGAATTATTTTTCTTTCCAAAACTTACATACATTTTTTTAAGAGGAAGATGTACATTTTATTCGGAATTAATGATAAGCAATATTTGTTCCTGTAAAAATATGGGGGATTATTTCGGAAAGTTAAATAAAACAGGCATTTAGAACCAAAGTGCCGTTTAAATCAGATCATTAGAGGCTTGATATTATTTTTGGATTCGTTGGATTTTTATCATAATTATCAAGCATAGAATGCAAAGAGCAAGAGCCACTTAGGGTTTTTTTTTGGCCCTGAGAATTTCTGAAAAATCGAAACTGCTCAGTTTTGGTTGAAAATGCAGTATTTATAACCTGGACCCTTGGTGACTATGTATCTATTGAACATGACGTAATTTTCTCACTAGTCAATGCATTATAACGTCCTAAAATACGTTATTTTTCCCATATCCTCTAAATATCCTTAAAATTGGCCAAAGGTTGAGGTATTTCTTCCATATTTCATATAGAGCACAACCTCTGATCCAAAATATGCAATTACATAATGAAAGATCTGTTTCTGAAGATCACAAAACATGTTTCAATTTTTGGATCGTCGGCTGTGCCCATATTTTAATTTTTTGCTAAAGGTAGTCAAATGCGCATGTTTTCTGCAAAAATTCAAGAATATTGCATATTCTCAAAGCTTGTGTTCCAATACTTGGATTCTCAAAAAGAAATTTTGTTATAGAAAATGAAAGCACTAAGTCTCTACTTAATTTTGATATATGAAATGGGAAAGAGAGTGATAGTCAATTAATTGATAGAAGGACAGGGCCATTTTATGCATAAAGTGAACCTAGCTCTTTGAACTACATATTTTCCATATCTAGAACAAATTTTAAATCAGGTTATAATCCAGGAATCTAAATAAACTAAGCTGTAATATTTGATTACAATTTTGTATTTTCAAACTATAGCATAAATTTCTATCTACTTTTCAAAACCATTCATTGTAAATATTTTATCCACCATTGTACTCATAATTCATTAATGTATGCTAACTTCTTTGAAATGTGCAACCCACACATGCGTGGAAGCTAAATGAATTATGCCTTTAGTTTAGGAAAGCTTTCCTAGCCCCATCCCCAAATACCAACGATAGTGTTATATAGAGAAATTTGGAAAGTACAAACTTTGTTCATTCATTTCAGGAAAACAACAGATACCTTTCTATCTTTTTTCGATTGTTACCAATAAATTAAAAATGGCTAAGACCAAAGATATTATTATTTTATATAAAAAAAACCTTTTTATTATCTAAATAATAATTTTATTAAATTAGCAATAATTATATTTTTAATCCTTTTTTGTATAGATTAGAATATTTTCATTACAGTTTCTTAATAATAATTTTGTCCGGAAGTAGAAAAAAAAACTTGAAACATGAAAAACAACCTTTTCTTTTAGCTATGATATATATTTTATTTTTCGAAACATTTATAATTCAACAAACACTTGTTAAGTTTGTTTAGATTGAGTATTTCGTACCAATCATTTACTTGTAGGTCTAAATGGGATGTGATTGCATGTCGGGCTGTAAAAGATGTCACACAAAATGGGAGACTACGATAGAGGGTCTTTTCGGCAAACTCGCAGAACGAATTTCAGATTATCCGGTTCCGATAATGGTTTCATGTATCATTGTAAACTTGTTGTTTATCATTGGAATACTTGGAATGAAAGTAGAAAATGACATAGAAAAACTTTACACACCGATTGACAGTCAAGCAATACAGGATCGAGCTACTATACAGAATTTGTATGGAGACCCGACAGACAGATATTTTCGATCGTACCAACTTAGTGATTTTGGACTTTATGGAGGTGTTATGATCCTTTCAAAAAACATGAGTGACATAAAAACACAAGCTTATGTGGACGAAATAAACAATATTCACAGTATAATAAGTGCCATAACCGTTGATAATAAAACATATGCAGACTTAGCCCCTGGATCAGATCCTTTTGAGGGAATATCTGGTTCCGTGATATTATCACAGCCATTTCAAGACAATTTTATTATCAATAATATCACATATCCTATGTTTGGCACGAGTCTTTTATCTCCTTTTCTTGCCCAGGCCGTTTCAGAAAGCGGAAAATTGACCTCTGCTGTTGGTGTTAAGCTACAATATTACCTGCAACAAAACAATGCAACCGTCACTCAGCTATCAAAGACATGGGAAACAGCTTTCATATCGAAAATGGGAAGTATAAAGACAAACTTAACACAGATTGCTTACGTTTACTCAGATTCCATTGAAACAGAATTAAATAAGAATATAAATAGTGATATAATATTGTTTGCTGTTACATTTACACTTATGATGACATACGCGAATTTCGCCCTATTAAGTACAAATTGTAACAACGTAGCTAATCGTATGAACTTGGGCTTTGCTGGCGTACTTGCACCCGTATTAGCCATTGCTTCAGCCTTTGGATTTGTCAGCGCTATAGGAGTGGAATTCACGAACATCGTCGGCGTCATGCCATTTTTAGTTGTCGGTGGGTATTTTACAAATCAGTGTTCCTGAAAAGCACAAATAGCGCCAAACTGATTTAGGGTTTAACCCCTTTTGGTTCTTTAGCTACTTAAAGAAATAGCATTACAAAAGGTTAATGTTAAAACTATTCACCTCCCCCCAATAAATTATAAATTATTAATCTTTTAAAATTTAAATAAGAGACATGCATGTTAAATTAATTCAGAATCATAAATATATTTTTTTTTCTTTCGGGAAATTCAAAGTTCCTCTTCAAACTGTTAGGGAAAAAATTAGGAGAGAGAATCTGCAGAAATGTTTGAAGAAATTAAGAAAGTGCACTTTATATGTTTTGTGAAATTTTCATTGTTTTTTTTTCTTTTTTAATAAATTAGGTATTGGAATCGATGATATGTTCATCCTCATGTCCGGAATGGCAGACGCTCCATCTCTGTCCGAACAATCCGACAACCGTGATATAAAGAAGAGGATGATATTCATGATGAAGAAAAGTGGCATTGCAATAACTATCACGTCATTAACAGACTTTCTGGCTTTTGCTATTGGATATTCGTCTGTCTTCAAAAGTATACAAAATTTCTGTATTTATACAGGTATGAATATCGAATCACATCATCAAAAAGTATGTACCGTAATTATATCTAACAAAATTTTAAGGAAATCAGTTTGAAAACGACGAGTTAAGGAGTTCTTCATATTTTTAGGTGTTTCTGTGTTGTTTTGTTACCTGAACCAGCTTTTCTTCCTCAGTCCGGCTATAAGGATTAATGAGGAAAGAACTATGGAGAACAGGCACTACTGTTTGTGCAGTAAAGTTGTCAAACCAAAAGAAGAGTACGCAAATAAATCTATGTGCTTTTTGAACTGTATTTCTGGGTATATCCCTCAAAGAAGAAGTGATGTAGAAAGTCTTCTGGAAAGATACCCCAAAAAGTTTATACTTTTAATTCTAAATAATATTTTTGGGGAAATCTTCATTGTTTTGATATTCTTGGCTTATTTGGGTTCTTCGATTTATGGGTGTATACATCTTCAGCAAGGCTTACAGCTTTTCAATTTAGCTTCAAAAGATTCTTACTTTTACAAGTATAGTTTATGGGACGAACAGTATTACACCACAGAACCAATGATTATGATCTGTGTGACACAGATACAAGACTATCACAGGAATGACACACAAAACCTTATAAATTCTGTCTTATATAAAACTAAATTGGACAATTACATTGATGACAACATTGAGATAAATTGGCTCGAAAATTACAAAAAATATCCATCATATGATGACACTTCCGAATCAAATTTTGCTATTGGTCTTGCTCAGTTTTTAGCATCTCCTTTTGGACAATCTTTTACAAATGACGTAGTTCTGGATAATTCAAGCTTGAAAATACTGTCATCCAGATTTTATTTAAAGGCGAAGAATATGAAAACATCGGATGAGCAAGGAGATTTTATGACACGCATGCGAAAAATAACGGACAACACTGGACTTCCTTGCATAATTTATACCCCAGCCTTTGTATATTTTGAACAATACGTTCAAGTTTTACCCAGTACTTTACAAACTGTGGGTATTGCTGTGGTTGTTATGCTCTTTGTGACTTTTATATTCATGCCAGATTTTCGAATAGTATTAATTGTAAGTATAACTCTAATTAGTATCCTTGCTGGAATATTTGGATTCATGTTCTACTGGGATCTCACTTTGAGTTCTATTACCATGATCCATCTGGTCATGAGTGTTGGTTTTTCTGTAGATTTTAGCGTTCATATCTGCCATGCATTTTTTTCTGTGGAAGGGAAAGTTCCAAAAGAAATTTTAGAAAAGGCTATGGACCGTGCTGGTGGCCCAATCGTTAATGCTGCATTTTCAACACTTTTGGGAATATTAATGCTAGCATTTTCCAGTAGTTACATTTTTGTTTCGTTTGGTAAGCTAATGTTCCTGGTTATTTCCTTTGGTCTTTTACATGGTTCTTTCTTTCTTCCATTACTATTATATACTTTGAAAGCATGCAAATTATACAAGGCAAAAGTAAGTGAAGCAAAGAATGGTAAAATACACACCCCAGAACCTATTCCTGCCATCTCACAGAATGGATCGTTTACAGACATTGGGAAAAGGTATGATATACATGTTTATCAACTTAAAATACTTTAAACACGTTATATATTTTATTTCTTAGAATAAGCAAATTTCTTTGTTATTTATTGTGGTTAATTGTCCTTTGAATTGTGTTTTCTTATTTATTATTAAGGTCATTATCCTCCCAAGAGTTTCAAGTACCGAAACTACAACCTTATTCATCCTCACAACAAAGACGGTCGTGTCCGAATATACACAACGAAGTTAGCAGGACTACAGGGTTCAGTAATGGACGCTTGGGAAAAACAACTTATATAGGCGATGGTTTTATGATGTACCAATATTAATTTTTTTGTGTTTCTATAAAGACATATATAACCTCCTCATTTTTATATGAATCACAGAACACATCAAATTAAAACAGTATATATCTTAAAATGAATCACTGTACATTTCTATGCATTTTAATTGGTAAATAAGATTCTGTAGTTAAAAAAAAATTGATTTGTCTTTCGAATTTTCTTTTAATAATATGATATACAGCAATGCTTTTACTTGAAGAAAACAAATCAAATTAGATACGTTATTTAACGTTGAATTATTGAAAATAAAGTGTAATGGATATTTTGAATTTCAGATCCCCAGTATACAATAGAATCAGTACCAATGAAAAGATAATATCTCTACAAAGTAATGGGTGATTTTCAAACTTTAATTAAGAATTTTCTGTTTACATATGTTTCTCCTATGTATCCTGAAATGCAGTTGTGTCATTTTAGTTTTTTGGTAGCAATTTTTACGAAATAGCTAATTGAGCAGTTTTATACGATTTTATATCCTTATATAAGGTCTCGTTATGAAAATAATTTCCTACAGGTCAGTTAGGAGAGGTTGTAAATTATTTATGAGTAAGGGGTATACGAGATATATACAAAACATGAAATTTATATTGATGCATTTTTTTCGATGTATAATGAGCAAAATTTTTAAGTGTATAAGTAATCATGGTTTTTGTGCATTGATTTATTGAATTCCACTTTCAGATGTTTAATGTTTCTTTGAAAATAAACATTTTATCATTGAAATGGACAGTTTTTTTTCAGAGAAAAGCAGGAAAAAAGAAATCAGGGTGTTGCTTTTTTTGCCAAAATTAAAAGAGGATTTTTAAACGAAAAGTATATAAAGGAGATTTATATCTGACAAAAGAAATGAGTGTACGTGTATATATATAAATATTAAGGGTTCATGAGCAAAATCACAATACATGGGATGCAATATCGATTTAAATGTATTATGTTTCACTTAAAAGAATGAGTTATGAATAGCAGAGCAATTTCTCTAACAGTTTTGCTGTTTGTTTGTTGTTTAATGTCCCTCTCGAGATTTTTTCACTTATATCGAGACGCCACCAGTTGCCTGTGGAGGACTCATATTTTGACCTATACTGGCACTCAGGGCCATTGAGCAGTGAAGGATCTTCTTCGTGCCAGCACGTACTGCGACACGGGACCTCCGTTTATACAGTCTCATCCGAAGGATCCCGCAGTGGATTCGAACCTGCGACGTAAGGAGCAACTCCTTACGTCGCGCCTCTAGAACAAACGCTCTAACCACTGCGCCACGCGACTCTTTAACAGTTAACAGTTGTCTTGCACTAACTTTAAGTAACCAATTTTTGCGAGACCTTATTTTGGGCACAAATGACCAGCAGAGGACAATTCATGTTGTTATAAAGTGTATCATTTTTTCATTCTGTCAGTCTGTCTGTCAGTCTGCAGCACAGAAGATTGATTGATTGATTGTATTTTGTTTAACGTCCCTCTCGAGAATTTTTCACTCATATGGAGACGCCACCACTTGCCGGTGGAAAGCTGCAATTTTTGTCCTATACTCGGCACTAACGGCCATTGAGCAGCGAGGGATCTTTTTCATGCCAGCACCCACTGCGACACAGGCCTCGGTTTATACGGTCTCATCCAAAGGACCGGTCTCCACGTCCCACAGTGGGATTCGAACCCGCGACGTAAGGATCAACTCCTTACTCTGCGACTCTAGAGCAGACGCTCTAACCACTGCGACATGCGGGCGACCAGCACAGCAGACATCATATGTGAGATACAGAAGTTATCATTTGGTAAAAAATAAAAATTTGTTTTACAAGCCTTGCTTATTATCTTGTCATCTTATCTCTTATTGAAGTAAAGTTAAAAAGCGTCTAAAAGAACGAAAGGCTAATATTAGATGATTAGATACATCTTAGGTATATAACATAATATATGCTGTAGATATGTTTCACAAATAAAAACTGATATTTGAAAACGATAGGAGTGTATACTTTTGTAAATATAACTCGTAATGACTTATTAATGTGATACGTAAAACCACACTGGAAATATTGATTTGAGGGGACGATGAGTTTTGTGCGGATTTATGAAACATGAATGACTTTAAAAAATGGCAGACGGAAAAATATTTTAATTCAAAAAATACACCATCAGATACCATTCTTGAAAAAAAAGGCGGATGGAAAATTACAAAGGTTAGGAAGGTTATTCATAATTAGAGAAGTCGTATCTTGATAATAGAATGTGTAAGCCTTGCTTATAAGTCATGTACTTATGAGATAATGATTTAATAACAACTCAATTGTATTTCTTCATTGTAATTTAGCTACTCTCAATGTTAAAATTCTTTGCTCATTGTTCAGAAAAGAAGTAGGTACGGTTTCGGCTTTAATATGCCCTAAAAATGTAATGTTCTTAAAAAGTTATAATATTGGCTAAAATATGAGTTGAGTAGATGATGTGATAAATCATGAAAGAATATGGCATGAAGGAGGACTATTGTGGAAATATGACTACATCATTAATGTGTTACATTTCGACGTTTTAAACAGAAAAGGCCTGAAAATGACTCATTTCTGGGGTTATTTTCCGTAAGAAAATAGTGTTCACAACTGTCGCCCACTTCAATTTTTGGATATGTTTTGTAAAATCCTTAAAATAATCACATTTATCAAAATCTTTGTTGGCGATGCATGTGCTCTATATTATTTAGTGGAAAATTCTACTGAAATTTGATGTCTTCCGCTTTTTCAAGAAGATACGGGAAAATGCACAAGTTCATGACGTCACAATTAGCACTAAGGAGGTCATATGAAAAAAAAAAAAAACAAAACAAAACAAAACAAAAAAAAAAAACAAAAAAAAAAAAAAAACAAAAAAAAAAAAAAAAAAAAACAAGTAATTTCAATGATTCAGAAAGAAATAGCTTTATTTTCCTCACATCTCTTTCATATTTAAGAAAAATACAGTGCAAAGTTTGTATTGAAACCGTACCTTGTTCTTTGAACAATTACTTACATGTTAAATAATGATGTGTACATACTGGCAAACCTTCGTGTATTAACATATAAAATATACCCATTTTTGTTTTGTCATTTATCTGGAATAAAAATACAATACAATTTTAATATTGCAAAAAGGTCTATCCGAGAATCGATTAATCGTCGACGAAAAAATCATTTTAGAAAACATGATTATTTTGACATCCTTTATACTACATTGCAAACGTCTGAGAATATTTAATGAAGTGTTATATATTAATGGAAATAAATGTTATACATGGATTTTTAATTTTTTTCTTGTTTTCAATTATTTTCTGTAATTTCTTTGTAAAGCGATGCTGTCGTAGGCATATATATGGTCGGGTCATAATAAGCTGATTAACTGAATATCTTATCCCGATTTCATTTATTTGATTTATAAACATAGCCGCTAAGATATCAACCGAAATCTACCTGATTGATCATATATCATTCTACTTCTTTAGGCAGATGAAAGTAGTTTTTACTTAGTTATTTCTTTGAAATGAGATATTCAAGCTAAATTAAAAATTCTGTTTGGTTCATAAGTATATGGTATTTTTTTTTTTAATAAAATTTCCATAAGAACTAGAGCGTACCTAAAATTTGGTACATACTTCTGGGTTTTCAAAAGTTCTCAATAAATAACCCCCTAGGGAAAGTACCTAAACGATTCTTATACAATCATTACGTGTTTTTTCTGATTATTTGATTGGTTGGGCAGTTGTTCATTATGTTTTATCTTTAATCAGCCCATTTTGGTCTTTCAGATAGGTATTAAAAGTTCAGTGTCAATCAATTTTTTTTTCCATCCAATAATATTGTCTGTTATATGCCTTACGTCAGAAAGACAGTATATAAGATTAAATCCATAACCCTTCTCTCAGTTGAAACAAAAATCTATACAAATGTACCTCAGTATAGTCCTTGTTCTTTTAAATTACAAACGAAATGGACACTGAGGATGCCATCGCAATTGTAGGCATTGGCTGCAAGTTTCCTGGAGCAGAGAATGTGGAAGAATTTTGGAATGTTCTTAAAAATGGCGAAGATCATGTCAAAGATATTCCAAAAGAAAGATTCAATGTTGAGGCTTTCTATGACAGCGATCCTGACGCGCCTGGAAAAACATACATCAGAAAAGCTGGTTTAGTATCTGGGTAATGATCTTTATATCTTTATGCATTATTTGCTGAGCTTGAAATATTATATTCGATATAATAAATTGAAACTGTATAAAATGTATTAAAGAATATAAAAATATATCAAAAGCTTAACTCTTAACTTAGAAATATATCAAACGTTGAAGGAAATGAACCGTAATATCTTGATTCATTTTTGAAGTTAAAAGCTGGCACAAATACATTTTCTTTAGTTTAAAGCCACAGTTAACAAAAATAACTTGTTATTTCTTAAGTAAATATTCTAAAATTATCAACTGTTCAAATTTTATTAATATGGATAAATAATACTAAAGATAGAATAAAGTTTAAAAAACTAAAAGCACCCCCAATTTCATTTATTTTTTTTTAAATACATTGCTATGACAGAATAAAATTAGAATTTTTTTCTCTCAAAACTTTATTGAAGTTACTTGTATTTCTCTATTTTATCATTAACGAAAAATTTAGATGCAAATTCTGATTTTATTGCTATTTGTATGTAGGATCAACGAATGGGATTATAAATTTTTTGGAATGGGAGAAAACGAAGCAAAGAGAATCGATCCCCAACAGCGATTAGTTCTGGAGTGTACTTACAAGGCCATGGAGGATGGAGGAATCACTAAAACGTCCCTGAATCAATCAGATACAGGCGTTTATATAGGTATGTTCATTGTTTCAATTTATGTGCAAGTATTTCAACTGTTCTTTTCAAATCTCGTAAATATATTTTGTGTCCTTTGGATAATTAATGAATCCGACTATTATGCAAAACGATGTATTGTGGATAAAATTGTTCGAAGAGAGGCTTTCGGGCCCCGTTTGCACGTTTTGTTTTAACCAAACCTACATGCAAGACAAACAGTCTTGACACCAAAGCTAAAATGGTTTTATGATATCTACGAAAGAACCAAGAGCAACAACTCTTACAATGTAACTTAAAGAACTATATATTTTGTGATTTAATTCAGGTATCTCGGGAAAGAACTGTGGCCTTTTGTACAGAAATCAGAACTTATTTGATCTCTTTCATAAAAAAAAATAGTTGATTAATAAATTACCAGTTAAAATAAATCTTGAAGATACGGAAATTGAACCCTGAATACTCTAATTTCCTTATCTCTTTGCCGCTATCACAAGTCAACCTTAAACAAAGTAGGAGTATTACAACGACTGATCATAAGAAAATCGGACCCTTACAAGTTCGGATTACCATTCAAACATCAGTATTCATTTCACGATAAGTTTGGAGTGTATTGAAAAATAAAATGAAATTCTAATAAAATGCTAGATCAGAATTAATTAAATTACACTTTTTGTGCCCCGTAATCGAATATTAAGGAGCATATAGTTTTTGCTCTGTCCGTCTGTCTGTCTGTTGTTTATCTGTTTGTCTGTTTGTCCGCAAATTCTTTAACCTAGCCCATATATTTTGATTGGTTGGAGCTATGGTTTTCAAATTTCACATGTGTATTTTGTATGATGAGTCCTTTCATTGGGTACCAGCATATTTGACCTCTTGACCTTGGAGTTTGACCCACTTCTGCAAAATTTAACAAACTTTGAACTTGGCCATAACTTTTGAACGATTGAAGCTAAGACTTTTATAAACCACTTGTGAATGTCTTGTGACAAGGTCTTCCTTTGACCCTTTGACCTTGGCCTTTGAGTTTGACCTACTTTTGAAAAACTTTAAATTTGTCCATAATTTTGCAACTTCTAGGGCTGGGGCTTTTATGTTTAACATGTGTATTTCTTGAGACAAGACCTTTCATTGCTTGCATACTACTTATTTTGACCTTTTGACTTGAACTTTGAGTTTATTTACTTCTGAAAAACTTAAATCTTGGCCATAAGTTTTAAATAGTTGGTGCTCAGGCTTTCATATTTCCGATGTACATTGCTTATGGCAAGGCCTTCCCTTGGGTATCAACAGTTTTGACATTTTTTTCTTGACGTTTGACATACTTTTGAAAAGATATTGCTCTGACCGTAATTTTTGAATAGCTGGTGCTAGGGCTTTCATATTTCACAGGTGTTTTCCTTGTGACCTTTTCTTATTCACCATTTGTTTTAACCCTTTAACCTTGACCTAGCTGTGAGTTTGAGTTACTTTAGTAAAACCTTAACATTGGCCATACCTTTTGAACAGTTGGTGCCAGGACTTTCGTATTTCAGAGGTGTATTGCTTGTGACAAAATGTTTTTTTGGGTACCAACATTTTTGATTTTTTTAACTTGACCTTGGAGTTTGACTTGTATTTGAAAAACTTAAACCTTCGCCATGACGGGGGATCAGTGTTTCACAAACAAATTTTGCTTTCAGTATCAATTAACTGTATACCAACTTTTATTCGCGTCCGAAAAATATCCGCGAGTTTCGCGATCTACTTTAACTCGCGAAAATTAATCGCCGCTAACCATTTATTTGGCTTTGTAGAGAATGTTTCCTTAATACCGAAAATTTATTGTCACGGATTGATTTCATACTGATGAATCGCGAATAAAAGATGATGCGAATAATAGTTGGTTTTCATTCAAAGTTAAATAAATTAGTCACTGTAGAAAAAAATCACTTATTCTTACGTAAGCATGCATATGCAACCAACCAGCCAGTAGTTAGGATTCTGATATGAGCAGATCAATTATTTAATAAGAGTTTTACCATATTAATCAAAATAATAAACAAACAAAATACGTTTGTCTTGTGTTGTTGCTAAGGCAACAAATAGTTTTTGATTTTATTTGAAAACGGAAAAGGGCATAATATCAATCGTTCATCTGAGTTCTACACAAATCTAATTTTATTAGTTATCTTCCATAGTATGATGACAACATTCAAAATTCATATAACGAGAACAAAAGGTGACTTAATCTTAGAGTAGCCTAATAGCTTTTTTGAATAGACGAAGGCAAAAGTTTGATTTTACTTTCCAACAAGAGGCCCATGGGCCACAACGCTCACCTGAGTCAATAAGGCCCTGCTGTTCTTTGTCAGCAGATTTCTTCTCCTATATACATGTACTGATACGTAAAGCTTTGATTGCCTGTTCAAGGATTTTTTAAAAGATTTTTTATATATACCTATGTAAAACTAAGATCCCCCATTGTGGCCCCACCCTACCCCCAGGGGTCATGAATTGAATAAACTTGAATCTACACTACATGAGGATGATTCCATATCAATACGACTAACTGTGATTTTGTTGTTCTTGAGAACAAGATTTTTAAAGATTTTTTTCTATATATTCCTACGTATAACTTTGATCCCCCATTGTGGCCCCACCCCACCCCGGGGGTCATGATTTGAACAAACATGAATCTACACTATGTTTCTGTATGAAGGTTTCACGTATGTTTCAACTTTTCTGGCCTAATGCTTTTTGAGAAGAAGATTTTTAAAAGATGACACAAAATTTTCACCAATTCTTAATTATCTCCCCTTGGAAGAGGGCATGGCACTTCATTTGAACAAACTTGAACTCCTTTCACTCAAGGATGCTTTGTGGCAAGTTTGGTTGAAATTGGCCCAGTGGTTCTGGGGAAGAAGTCGAAAATGTGAAAAGTTTTTAGACAGACAGACGGACGGACAGACAGACAGACGGACTACAGACAAAATGTTATCAGAAAAGCTCACTTAAACTTTCAGCTCAGGTGAGCTAAAAAGCTTTTGTTTTCCCCGTAGGCGTCATGAATGGTGAGTTTGAAGCAATCACTGGAATAGATCCTACCCTAATTACCAACTACTCGGTAACAGGCGTGAGCAGAAGCATAATATCCGCACAGGTTGCTTATTTTTTAAACCTCCATGGACCGGCAATGACTTTGGATACAGCTTGTTCCTCGTCACTTGTTGCAATTCATACAGCCGGACAAGCCATTAAAACCGGTATAAGTCAAATTGTAGTCTTATTAGTAAAATTTGTAACTTCTTTTTATATGAATATTTCTTCATATTTTTCTTCATCCACTTATATTTTGTAATTTCTCTTCTTTGAAAAGGGGACATAAAGATGGCGATATGCGGGGGTGCCAACGTCCTGTTAAGTCCATCAACGTCAGTAGCTTTGTCCAAGGCACGAATGGCATCAAGGACTGGAAAATGTCATACCTTTTCCCAGAATGCTGATGGATATGTCAGAGGGGAGGGGTGTGGAATTGTGATTCTTAAACGACTTCGTGATGTACGGGTTTTTTTTTTTACAATGAATAACATCTATTTAAAGACAAATTTAACTTTTCATTACAACAAATTAAAAATACAATGTACTCGTTTGATTTATCTTTTATTTAAATTTATCGGTTATTATAGGTAAATTCGGTTAAAAGGGGTGTTTAAGAGCTCACTACAAAAGATTATTTTCTATTGCACTTTGTTTCATGAAGATGCACTATATACATGTAGTCTCAAAATCTATTTAGTCTTGATCTCCAAAATTTGGGGCTCATAAGAACATTGTTCCTCCCGAAATTGTAACCTTTTAAAACATTTCGGCTTTAGGAATTTGAAGTTCTGATTCCGAGAGGCAGCTGATTTTGCAACAGGGTTGCAAATGCTGCTTCTGACCTTTATTTTCCAGATAAATGTCAAGGTTCAGGTCCTGTAGCAGACACATTCCCATTTAGCTATAATTCTTATATCCACTAAATCATCCCCTAAGTATACATGCATTCTACTAAGTATGCGCACCTTAAATAAGGAAGTGGACGCCGCATCTGGCCCTTGTTTTCTGAATGTATATTCAAGTAGACATTTTTCAACAGATACTTGTATGTTCCGTTCTTCAATTAATCTTGCATAGATGTTGCTTTTTGAGATCCATGCCACAACTTATGTTTCGGATGCTGACCTGACCTTTATTATTTAGTTGTGTGACTATTAAACACTCACTTTTGAATATGTCAGCTATCAAGTCAATTTTTTTTAAAATGACCTACCTTGTAAAAAGGATGCATTTTGGGATGTGAAAGCGACATATGAAAACGAAATAATTACCAATCCTTAGTGGACTAATTTTGCAAGAATGATTTATTCTGGGATGCAAAATATGGATGTCCTTTTTACTTCCCTCTGACGTGCTTCTGGTAGCTATTGCGTTTGTGGCTTATATTTCTTTAATCAGTGAATAAAGACTTTTTAAAGTATACCAAAATTTAATGTAGAATGAAGTTGCATTTCTAATAAACAAACTATTTCCAACTCGTTTGGTGTCAAAGCATAAGTGAATTATGTAATTGATATCTTATGCCAATATTCATATCCTCCAGGCCATTGCTGAGAACAATAAAGTGTGGGGAATCATAGCCACTGCCTGCAATCAAGACGGACACGAGAATTCTCCGATCACGGCACCAGCAGGTGTTCAGCAGGTCAAACTCTTAGAGAGAATTTTCGAAAAAACAGCCATTCATCCCAGCAGTATACAGTACATAGAAGCTCACGGTATCTCAAATTTCATTTAAGAATTTAAGACTTGAAAGGATAATTAAACTTTCTGACTTATCGTCTATTGACAAATTACAACGCTTATGAGCATTTATTTTTTCTGTTAAGTGCAGTGCTATAATAATTGTAATGTACTTGAATATTTCAAGCCTTTTCTTTTAGATAGTTGAGCCGATTTAAAAAAAAATGAAAATATAAGAGTTTGGGACAGAGGGAAAAATATTTGTTATTTTCAAGATCATTGCACCTATCAAATTAAGGGATAGAAGCTACCAAAATGCATGCATTTTTCAAATGTACTGTTCTATATATTTGGGTTATCTAGCAGACATATTATTACGTAATTATAATGATAAGTTTAAACAAAATTGTCACCTTCCTTAACTCTAGATCAAGAGTTCATGCCCCAGACTGTGGCTAAGTTGTTCATATATAGAAAAATGCAAGAAACGTTGAAAAATATTTTCCTTTACAACCGGACCATTACACTACTGGACGAAAAAAGTGCTGAGAATCCCAAATTTTATTGATAATGTTTGATAATTACTGATACGGTGCTGTTCTTGCTGATAAATACTGATATTTACTGTTATTATTACTGTCGTTGCTGATAATTTTAGTTGTTTCTGATAAATACTGATAATTACTGTCGTCTTTACTGTGGAGTCTGATAAATACTGATAAATACTGTTGATGTGCTGTCGATGCTGAGATTTACTGATAATTACTGTAGTCATTGTTTTTAATCTGGGAAGGGACTAAAATAGCTTAAGAAATGATTATTTGTTTTAAAGAAAGTATTTTATCAACAAATTCATTACAGTATTCTAATTAAAAAATTATTCTAGGAAAAAAAGTCACGTTTTATTTGTTTTCATATTTCATGTATTAATTTTATTATAATCATTTTTACATCATAATGTTAAAATTAGATCATAAATGTTTGTGTTTTTCTTTACCTTTATATTAATTTTCTCCTTTCACAAAGTTTTCAATATCTGCGGAAAATAAAAATTGTGTTGTTATTGCAGTGGTTTTTCTCCCCAAGTACTTTTTAAAACAAGTTTTTATTTTTTAAGGTTAAAAAAAAAATCCCATCTCATTTTTTCCACGTGTATTAGTATTGTCAACAAAAACTTTTAGAGGGCATCTTTAATATAGTAAATGGTTGTTATCGTCAATTTATTTTTTCGTGTGGAGAACTGAACATGTATGAGCTCTATAAGTTGAGACCCCCCCCCCCCCTATTTACATACAACTCTCATTTTAAGAAGACACTTTAGCCAGTATTAAATATATCTCATAAAAAATCTATTCTAATTTTATGTTGTATACACTATGTCCTTTTATTGAAGAATGTGACAGGTTTAAATAATAAAAAATAAAACATCTTTAATCTGTAGAATAATCTCTTTTATATACATATAGCCAGTGCGCTCTATTTCTTTGATAATGTCCTCGATGCGAATTTGATATCATTGTGTGGTATCAACGCTATCTATCTTTCGTTTTTACGTTTCATGTTATACGCGGTCAGTCAGTTAAAAAAACCAAAATAAAATGAAATAAAACGAAACTTGAAGTAACTTTCGTCCATTAATGCAGTCTAGCTAAATTGCTGTTCTGGAACACACATGTTAACCACGTGTAAAAGTTCTACTTTCGTTTTGAGAATCGGATCAATTATTAGTACATTCTGTGTGTCGTGCGACATAAATTTTTGTAAAATTAGAAATAGTTTTGTACAGAGATTATAATGTTTTTTATTCCATTTTCTCCTTGTCGGAGACCTTTGTATAAACGAACAGTACAGGCTGGGCGCTTACCGACTTGATTATGCTTTACTGTAGCACAAAAGGGGGGGGGGTGAAATACTGTTAACTTAAAACTGATACGCGCAAGGTTGATTCTTTAGTTTTATGTTCAATAAGTAATACATGTTATAATTACTTATTACATATTTTTTATTTACATGAATAATATTATTTTAGAGAATCAATGAACGATACCAAATTCAGAACTGTAACATTTATTCAGGAGTGCGATAAACAACGACATGTTACTGTCATTCAAAATTCATAAAAGATTTTTTTCACGGATTCTGAGCGATGTGGAGTTTAATTCCCTGTTTCTGAATTGTGAACAGTTAATGCTAATATTATTTCAATAATTGCTTTCACTAAACCATCTATTTTTTTTTTAAATTTATATGTACATTTTGCATAATGTTTTAATTATAAGATGAAGTCAAATGTTCCGTATCAATTTCTCGTCTCCGTTTCACGGGCCCCAAACCATCGTTAACCGAGATTCAGAATTGAAAATACATGTAGCCCCTTCCCCGGGATTTTCTTGTAAACTTATCTCAAGCATGTCAAGAAATGTGCATAAAACTAACAAATAAAATTAAATACTGAGCAAAGATAGATTTATGTGAATTAAAATAATTATTGAATATTAAGTCGGTACAATGTATATGTATATAACTTAGTTAGTTCATTTCTTTTTCTTTTTTTTATCTTAGTCCTGCAATGTCCTATTTTGCTAAATAGTTTTTTTTTTTTTTTCAATTTTCAATTCTATTCGTCAACAAATTGAATATTACAGGATAATTTTTTTTTCCGTGCGACCGTAAAGATTTTCCTGCTCAAAGAAGAAAGTACATGTGCAGTGTAGGTAGTTTGTTTATTATGTACACCGGTGGCCGCAGACGAGGAACAATAGGTAATTAGTGCCCATTGTTACGCTGACCACTACAATTTACATGGAATATACAAGTTGTATCCCGTTCTACCCCGGGGCGGAAGACTTGTACACGATACAGCCAAGTCAGAGACTGATCTTCGATTTTTGATCAATGAAGATCAATTTATTCCATGCATTTTTTGACCACACAAGATTAAAATCGATCAATTTGATCATATACATGTACTTTACTAAGTAAACATATTATATTAGGTCTCATTTCTTATTTCACATTCCATAAAATTAAATTAATGAGATTTTAAAACTTATTGAATAAAAATGTTCCGTGTCATGAAATTTTAAGAGACCAACATCAAAATAACATAAACACATGTGTACCTTCGCTCTGACGCTGGGGATTCTGATCATGCACTAATTTTTAATCAGCCCCCAATCTGCCGGTTGCACATGTATGTATCGTGTATATGTAGATGTAGAAGAGATATTCTGGAAGAATCTAAAATGCCTATATTACTTTCAAATAAATGAATGAATAAATAAATAAATAAATAAATAAATAAATATTAAATAAATAAATAAATAATCTGTGCCTCCAGATTGAACATATTCACCTCTGTTTTCATCTCTTTTTTAAATTTAAAAATGCATAAAATTTCTAAATTTCGAGCAAATTTTCAAATATCTTGACAGAGACCAGAAAATCGAACATTTAAAAATGAAAAAAATAAATGTCTTTGAGAAATAAAAAACAAAAATAGCTATATGAAAGGTCCTCTTTAAAAAGAAAATGTCGTTCTCTCTTGACCAGTTGATGGAGTGAAACCGTGCGAATCAAACTTTTCTAACCTGCAGGAAATATTTTTTATCCCGAATTTTTTTTCCACCCATTAAGAACTATTTCTTATTATTGAAGAAAAAAAAAACATCACCGACCTCCCTACCCAAATATGTTGGAGTCGGGAGAGGGCGGCGATGAATCTTTTTAAAAGATAGTCTTATTTTCTTTTTATTTACAGTACATTAATAAAATTCCATTTATCTTGCTTACCGATAAATTATATTATTTTCATAGATTGGTAGAAAACATTTGCTTAATATACTAAGGTTTCATTTATTTATTGTCAACATTTTCACAACCGTATTGTATGTAGTAAATGAGATCAGCGTAATTTTTGTAACTAGCAGAACATTTAAAGAAATATGAAAATGTCGTAATGATAATTTATAATTAAAAGAAAGAAATAATTGAAGGTTTTTACAGCCCTCAGTTCTTCTTTAGCCCTTCCAAGCTTAAGAACAAAGACCACAGTAATTATCAGTAAATCTCAGCATCGACAGCACATCAACAGTATTTATCAGTATTTATCAGACTCCACAGTAAAGACGACAGTAATTATCAGTATTTATCAGAAACAACTAAAATTATCAGCAACGACAGTAATAATAACAGTAAATATCAGTATTTATCAGCAAGAACAGCACCGTATCAGTAATTATCAAACATTATCAGTAAAATTTGGGATTCTCAGCTCATTTTTCGTCCAGTAGTGTTAGCAGACAAAAAATTAACTTGCTGCTGATTAGTAGTTACACCAAAATTTTGAAATTTGTGCCCTCCTGAATCAGCAGTTTGTTCATGTAAGCAGTCTATACTCTGCATTAAGGATTGCCTCCGGGACAGCCTTGGGTTGAACTCTCGACCTATAGAAGTCGTCATTTTTATAACTAAGGGTCATTTGCAAGTTCACTATCACTTTTAGAAAAATGTATTTGAACACTTTAAAAAAATGAATTTTGTGAGTCGCTCACAATTCCTCTAGTTTTTTTATCTTTTCATTTATCTTGCAATTCCGCAGTTTTCCTTATTCTTAATTTGGAAAGAGCTTTTCAAAGGTTTACGACTCAAGTCTTAAAGGTGCTAAGTTAATTACATAATGAAAAGTACTAAGAATTTAGAAAATTGTCTACTTAACTATTAGATAACTAGCAGAAAAATTGTTTGTATGATAATGAAAGACATTAATCTCTATCTATAAATAGCACAAATCATGCAATGGTTCAGGATGCAGGTTCTAAACTAAGGCAAAGCTGGTAATAGCTTCGAAATTCATTATCACTTTAAAATTCTTCTTCTTTACTCACTTACATCTAAAAGGCAGTCTAAAATGGTTATATTACGCTCATTCAGTCAGTTCTTGTTTGTCTATTGTTCTCCAGTTGATGGTAGTTGATATTTGTTTATATAAATTTGTGTTAAAAGGAGATCAATAGACAAACATGCTCAAATGAGCTTTTCTGATCAAAGAATGTCCGGTGTTTGTCTGTCGTATGTGGTCCGTAATCTGTGTCTGTAAACTTTTCAAATTTTCCACTAGACCAATTTCAACCAAACGTGCCACTTAGCATTCTTGGGTGAAGGGGATTCACAATTGTACAAATGAAGGCCCATGTCTCCTTTCAAGGGGACGATAATTATGAATTAAAAACATTTAATTTCATTTTTAAAATCTTCTTAATAACCACTACACCAGAAAAGTTTCATTACACACAGAAGATTTACGTCTGTTCAAATCATGACCCCCATGGCTAGACGGGGCCAAAAATGGTATTTTAAGTTTGACATAGGAATGTATAAAAAAAATCTTTAAAATCTTCTGTAGAACAGCAAAGGAATGCTTATATTAATCATATTTATGTAGAAACATTCTAAGGAAGTTTAGATTCAAGTTAGTTCATATCATGACCTTCGGCGTAGGGTGTTGCCACAATAGAAGATCAAACTTTTTCATAAGAATATATCGGAGAAAATCTGTAGAAATCTTTTAAAGGCATGATTAGTCCTATAAATATGGAAGCATCTTCAGTTTGTGTAGATTCAAATTTGTTCAAGTCATCACTTTCTCCCCTGTCTCTCCTAGGGTGCTCCGGTGAGAGATATGGACATGGGCCTCTTAATTACATTTGCATCAGAATAGTCTGCATGTATAAATGTTTTCTGATTGTTTGTAAGCTCTTTTCCTCTAACGACCATCTCTGTTTGTTACATACGATTTTTCCAAAATTTCAAGACGACAGACATATGACGTAAACCGTATCGTAATACTTAAAAGTCAATTGATCACTATTTAAAGAAATCGATAATATCTATTTTCAAAAGGCATGTGAAAAATTCCTTTTTTCTAGAAACATTACATGAACATTAACTATCATTTGCTTATAGGTACTGGGACCCCGGTGGGTGATCCAATAGAAGTCAATGCTTTGGGGAATTTTTTTAGTAGCCATCGCAATAACCACAATATAAAAATTGGATCAGTGAAAACTAATATTGGTCATCTTGAATCTGCTGCAGGAGTTGCAGGTCTCATCAAAGTTCTTTTGATGATGAAATATGGAGAATTTGTGCCATCATTGCACGCCAAGGAATTGAACAAAAATATTCCATTTCAAGAATATGGATTTTTAGTCAGTCAAGACAATACAGAATGGAAATACGATACTCATAGTCGCCGATTAGCCTCAATTAATTCCTTTGGTTTCGGTGGCACAAATTCACATGCAATAGTATGCAGTACACCAAGTCTTAGCTCCCTACCAAACAAACACAAAGTTACCACGAGAGAGGTTCTTTTTCCAAACTCTCAAGTTGTTGTGGTGTCAGCAGTTACAAAAAAGTCAATACAGGAAATAACTGAAGACTTGAGGCAAAATTTAAATGAAATGACGGTTTTAGAAGATTTATCGTATACATCTATTCTTCGTAGGGAGCATTTTAAATTTCGCAAAATGTTTGTCACAGATTCGATCAACTATCTCGATAATCAGTTAAAAGCTTTTTCAAATAGCGGCGAACAAAGCGTTTCTGGTACACATTTCCAGCCACAAAAAATAACATTTGTTTTCTGTGGGGTAGGAACGACGTGGAAAGGAATGTGTGCAGAAATAATGATGATAAATCCAGTATTCAGAAAGCAGGTGATTGAAATTGACATGTACTTAAAAAAGCTAAATGCAAATATATCAATGTATGAAACCATAAAAAACAAAGAGGAGATTTATGAAGATGCAATGAGAGCCCATTTAGCAATTTTTACAATACAGGTTGCTCTAGCTGCATCTTGGAGACACATAGGAATTCAGCCGTCAGCGGTCGTAGGGCAATCTGTAGGTGAAGTGGCTGCAGCTTATGAATGTGGTTCACTTTCTCTTGAAGAAGCTGTAACCGTTATTTATAACCGTTCGCTTGTATTATCAGCTTGTAAAACTGGTGCAATGATGGTCATTCGTAATTGCTCAACCGAGGAGGTCAGTCAAGCTTGTGCCGAGGTTCTTAGAAATTTTAAATGTAAAGCCGACATTGCTGTTTACAATAGCAACGAGTCATGCTCTGTGTCTGGTGATGTAGAAGCACTGAAAAGAATACAAACAAGATTGAAAGATAACGCTGTGTTTATTCCCCTTAAAACATCATGTGCATACCACAGTCATCATGCCAAAGAAGCGAGTGGGCGTCTCCCTGATCTGTTGAAAAATCTAAACCCCAAACCGCCACTTGTTCGTTTCTTTTCAACGGTAACAGGAATGGAAATGAAAAATGAATTTGCATCATCAACTTATTGGGCATCAAATGTTTTGAAACCTGTAAAATTTATGCAAGCACTAAGATCAGTCAAAGATGAATTACAGAATGTTATATTTTTAGAAATAGGACCCCGGCCTGTATTCATGGCACATCAGTCAACAGTGTTTCCGAACACAAATACCTTAGTCTTACCTTCAATCAACAAATCACTGGATACGAAGACGTTTTTGAGCTCGTTGAACACATTGTTTGAAAAAGGAATAAATCCTGCATGGGATCATCTCACAGAAATAAATGGCAGTCTCTCAAAATTTCCACGATATGTTCTTAGCAAGTCTGACTGCTTTCTTGAATCTGAAATGGTTAAAAGATGGACACAAGAAAACAGTGTAGAAGGAAATGCAGGAAGAATGATTCGTGACGTACCAGGAACGAACGGGGAATTTAAAATTCTTATATCTAAATCAAATACGCCCTTCATATATGAACATGTAGTAGAAAACAGGATCATTATACCCGGTGCACTGTATGGAGAGGCAGCACTTGAAATTGGGAGGATTTTATTGACTGGGAATATAGAAGATCTAGAAGTTTCATGGAAAATTTGGAAACCTCTTGAAATCGCCATGAACGAGGAAAAGTCTCTTCTCATTGAAACTGATTTTGTTTCGCCACAGAGAGTTCACTTCAGAGTCCGAGAATCACCAGGTTCCCGGATATTAGCTGACGGGAATGCACAACATGTAGAGAAAATAGATTCCACGACATTTGACGTTGGAGGATTTGGAATGACCCTTGGAAAACAACAGTCAGGGATAGACATCTACAAGCTTTTAAATACTTTGGGTTTTAAGCATGGCCCAACTTTTCGAATAGTATCGGAGTTCCAAACATCATTGAACGATAGTCTCTCTAAAATACACTTAACAAAAAATGTCCAGATGGAATTGCCAAGAACCTGTTTCCATCCCGTAATCATTGATGGCATGTTTCAATCATCTTTTAATCCAAATATGTTATCAGGGGTTTCAAAAGGATGGCGTATTCTTCCCACTGGTGTGAAACTGTTTAGGGTTTACCAAGCACCAGTAGCAAACATGACTTGCTTTTCAAGATTCATGTTGAATCAGAATTCAAAAATAATATCAAACGCATTGCTTTTACGTGAGAATGGCATTGTTGTAGCAGAAATGGAAAGTTTTGAAATGAAAATAATTTCTGAAGATGGTGATTTTCAGAAATATTTTTTTGAGGAAACATGGCAGAATATCATTCCTCCAATTAGTGATCATTCTTACAGAATACCAAGTTTAGTTTTTTCTTGGAAAGACGAAGATCTTAGGGAGGCTAGAAAGACTTTGTGCAGGACTTGCTCAAATGTAGAGTCTGTCAATCTATCTCACGAGGAAGAAAGGGCGGCTTTTCTGTCATCCTTGAAGGAAAGAAAGCATTTTAATCTTTATTTCATTCCTGGTTTTGTCAATGCAGAATGTAATTTAAATGGGAATATTGTGTTAGAAACTGTAAAAAGATCTTCCCACATTCTCTTGAAGATACTTCAAGAAATAGATACGAAAAGCACAAGCTTATATATTATAACAGAATGGACACAGGGGGGCGAGAAAAGAGATGTCTTTGGTGTTTTTGGATCGGAGCTTTGGGGAATGGGTCGATCATTTAAGAGGGAATGTCCCGAATTCAACCTCGTTATGATAGATCTACATGGACAGTTGGCGGACCTCCAGGATTCATTTTTGTCCATTAACAATGCTTTGAAAAATGACAAAGAAAATCTACTACCTCGGGAATATATTATAACATCAAAAGGAGTCCTCACTAAACAGTTCCAAAATATGCCTTCCCTGTCTTTTGAAAGTGTTGTCAAGACAATTGATTCAAACAGAGAAAAGAGTTTTTCTGTGCGAGCAAGGTCAGCAAAAGATAATGAAACATTATTCAAAGTCCCAAACTTGGAAAATTCCAATTTTACAAAAGAGGGTTGTACTCTCTTGATTGATGAAGCACTGCTGTGTTCAAAAAATCGCCTATTTCCTCCCCAAAAAACTATCCCAATAGGAAAATACTGGAGTCCCTATCATGACATGGGTCTTGATGTAATGGCTTGCGAGTTTACAGGACGTTTCATGAAAAATGGGATACATGCTGTAGGTTGTTGTCTCGTCAATGTCACTAGCACTGTTATAGTAAACAAGCTATGTATATGTGAATTATCTGACATACCATTTTACAGGATAGGAATGTTCTCAAACACTGTAATAGCAATGTGTTTGGCAGAAAAAATTGGAAGAAAGAATTATGTTCAGATATTGTTTGACAAGCAATATGATGACGTGACAAAAATGTTACAGGCGATGTTACGAAAGAAACATTGTTCAGTTTTGGCTGCAGAATTCGATGCTGAAAAAGACACACAAAATCCATCAACGTCTTGTCTTGTGGTGTTAACAAATCAAATTGTTTGTTCTTTTGAAGCTATTGTGTACTGGTTTCCAAACATGAAGCAACTGCTCAGTATTAAAGGTCTTCTGCCATTGTCCACTACTTTAAATAATCAAACAGAGCATCCAAATATAGAATCTTGTGTTGTAGATATATATGAAGTATTTGAGCAAGCTAAAATGCAAAAGAGGTTCATCCAAGCAAAACGACTAATGCTTGACTATGAAAAAAATATTTCTGAAATGACTTTCCCGAGTTCAGGATGCATTTTGAACTTACCTTCCTTGAATGATTCTACAGAAGTAGAAGTGCCAAATAAGTTCTTAATAAGACCTGACTCGGCATACATTGTTATTGGAGGACTTTCAGGTCTAGGCTGGGAAGTAACAAAATTTTTAGCCGCTCGTGGTGCAAGAGTGGTAATTAGTCTATCTAGAAGAACCCCATCTAAATTAGAGAATAATCGAATGGAAAACATGAAAAATATTCGAAACACAGTTATTATGCATGAAAAGGTTGATATTACACAAATAAAAGACTTAGAACGTGTCTTCTTGGGTATTTTGTGTCAATTAGATAGTACACGGATTCGTGGAATTTTTCATGGCGCGGGTGTTCTCCAAGACTCACCTGTTAGTAAACTCACAAAGGAAAGCTTTGATATTCCACTGATACCAAAAATATTAGGTACTTGGAATTTGCATTTAGTAACAAAAAACTTGGATTTAGATTATTTTGTCATGCATTCCAGCATTGCTTCTCTTTTTGGCAATAGAGGACAGACTAACTATGCGGCAGCGAATGCATTTATGGACGCATTTGCTTATTATAGAAGATCAAAAGGTAAAGCAGCACAAGTTATTAACTGGGGTCTTCTTTCAGTTGGAATGGGAGCTGATCAAAATATTCAGTCAATGAATGCAATGAATGGTCTTCAAGCTTTACCTAAAGAAAAGATAATCGTTGCATTAAATCATGCATTAGTTACAAAGAGAGTTCAATTCACGTTTGCAGGCATCGATTCGTCTCGTATAGAGGTAAAAGATGCTAAATTAAGAAAAGGAAGACATAATTATCTTGAAAGTGACGTTCACAATTCAGACGCCGGAAATCATGAATCATTTCAAAGTAAACAGCAATTGCTTCAATCGTGGATTGATTCTGTCAGGCTGGCCTCTGCATCAGTTTTGTCAGTTGAGCCCACAGATATAAAAGATACATCAATTCTTCTAGATTTTGGATTGGATTCTCAAAAAGCAATAGAACTGATTAACTACTTATATGCATCCAGCCATATCCGTCTACCTGTTGTTTATCTTATGTCAGGGAAAAGCACTGTCAGTGACATAGCTGAATATTTCACATCGAAAATAGCTGAAGATGACAAGGCAGATAACGATACTTTTGTTTCTGAAAGTCCTTCCTTTTTGGAATTACACTACCTAGACTTGCAAAAAAGGGACCCAGATAACCCTCATTTAACAATTACGTTGGATTTCGATGTTTCATCGCAACTGAATTGTGCGAAAACATGGAAAATGTCTCTCCTGAATCTAATATCAATCAACCCAGAATTGAGAACATTGCTTCAAGAAACAGAGCAAGGAATGAAGCGTGCCAACATACAAAAGTTTATAATAGACATTGAAGACGTGAGTTTTCATTTTATTTCAGTTTCCTCGAAAGAGGAATTTGAAAACGCGTCTGACAGTATTTCGAAATTCAATCCATATGTAGACATTCCATTGAAAGCTGTATTTTGGAAGTCCTCTTCATTTGGAATTCTCAGGCTCGTAATAAATCACGGCAGCTTCGATAACGGATGTGTCATAGCTATTGTAAAAGATCTTCAATATATCTTTACTCAATATCTTTTACATCAGTCTGCTCCAGTTATGCTAACCCGTCAGCCAGTTGACCCAGCCTTGGCAATGGAAAGGCTTTTGAATGAGCGAATGGACGAACTTAAAACTTACTGGAACATGGAGCTTTTAAAATGTCGAGAACCACAGAGTTTTCAAATGATTAAAAAAGTAGAGGAGAGAAGTCCCGGAAATATTAGTGAAGTGATCACAAAGCTCTTGAATGTTGATCAATTAAAAAAATTGGAAGAAGTGTCTACGGAAAACCACAGTACGCTGTTCACCTTGTTTTGTACTGCTTTTCAAGTAGCAATACATAAACAATTACATTGCCACAGAACATGTGTAATCGCAGCAGCAGATACTAGAATGCACCTCCCAGAATTTCGGGAGAGACCTGTTTTGTGCGTGAATTACATTCCCATTGTTTCAACAGATATGGTAAACCCAAGTTTATCTTTCTATGACATATTAAAGGCAAACAAAAACATTATTGCTCAAGGGATCTCCAAAAGTCTCTTTCCTTTCAAACTCATGAGAGAAATGCCAGCCTTTGTAGAAGACATACATAAGGTGCACTCAATTGTAATGGAAGATTTGACGCTTTGGAATGTTTTCAATACTTCTCAAATTCAATTATCAAAATTTGGTGTGGAACAAGATTCAAGCTATGAAACAAATCTTAGTGTAATCCTTCATTCCAATAAGTCTTTAGAACTTAAATTGAGGTACTCTGTGCAGAAAGTTGGAAGGTACCTTGCAGAAAACATCCTGGAGCATATTGAAGCTATACTGGAAAATTCTGTATCGGATATACACTTCAATATTTTTACATGGCGCTCATTGTGCAAAATAGAACAAGAAATAGAAAGTTTAGCGGACGGTAAGTATTTCAGTGATTTATTGGTCACAGTTTTCAAGAAAGAAATATCACAGATTGTATGATTGGTAGTATCTACCTTTATTTTTCACAGAATATTTCTTCCTGTACAACCGCAACGGCAAAGTAAGGAAAAAGAAAATATTTATCATAAACCATCCGACATTTGCCTTGGAATGGGGTAAAAAGCGTACTTGGAGAATTCCTACTTCAGAAATGGTCCTCATCACTGGCTTTAATGCTCAAGGTAAACAATATATATATATATATATATATATATATATATATATATATATATATATATATATATATATATATATATATATATATATATATATATATATATCACAGCCGACAATACGAAATATCCGGACAAAACATACATGTACATGTTTTAACTCTGGCGACAATATGTATTTGCTCGAGACCCCCCTCCCTCATCCCGTAGAATTGGTGACAAATGTGTGTCACGCATCTGGACATTTTACTGCCATGCCAAAAGTATCTTTTAAAAGAATGTTTCACTTGGTCATTAGAGAGAGAGAGAGAGAGAGAGAGAGAGAAGGGGGGTCTTGGTCTTTCTGTATAATTTTTACTAATTTTTTTTTTCTTTACCTAGTTTCAATTGTATATTAAATGAAACTTTTTTATTGCTGCTGCTTAATATCATTTAAAAATGCATGGAAAGTTACGTTGAGAAAATGGAATCGTACACTTTTTTACGATATACATGACGTTGTAGATTTTGCGCCTTAGCTTCATGACAATTCCCAAATAATCACTCAAAATTGATTTCAATTCAAAATATTTTGAAATAAAATCTTGTTGATAACTACAGTGAAGAGTGAAGATTCTTTTATAATATTTGTGACTTTTTGATTATTTTTGTCTTCAAATAATTTTGCTGAGAAGTAGGTCCGCGTAATTTTTGAACGACCCCCATTTATCAGTTGAACGACAACATGACTTAAACATATTTTAAAATAATTCTGCAAAAATGTATTGATGGAAGACAAATGCGATATTAATGTGAGGGCAGGTGAATTTTGTTGTTGAGGAAGATATGAATCTTCACTGAGAAGTACCTTACAAGTAAAAATATTGTTTAATACTGGTGGCAATTTAACTTGTGTCAGGTCTAGGATTTTCCGACCTATTGTACGAAATTTGAAAGTTTTAATATAGCAAATTTAAATCATAAACCCGTTAAGGTTTTTCAGACTTGAAAACAAAATTATGATTTTGCTGTAGTGACGAACAGTCAACAGATACAAATGGTGGGATTAAACCAAGATTATGTAGATTGAAATATGCTGTTTTATTAAGAGTTTATCCTGAGAATTTTTCATACACATGCCTTATTGTGTTTTAGATTTCCATGGAATCTACATAAAAACACTTCATTCAGAAGAAAGACTATTGCTAAAAGATCGAAAGCGGCGAGATGCTTGGATTGCCGTTCTTAGAAGAAAGGTGGCGGAACATTTTGAAGAAAAGTATGAGAGTACAAAATTGTGAAGTAAACAAAGTATTAGCAAACCATACCCATAACCTTAATTCTCTGTTCTGTTAAGTTCTGACACTGATAAATAATTCAGTTCACATAACCATGAAGCATTTGGCAGCTCTGTTCTGCAGCTGTTGAATAAGAAAGAGAGTTAAATAAACAGTTGGACCTTGTTAAGACCTAGTATTTCCTAGCAAATTGTCCGGATTAATGAAGCACCCGCATTAATTAAACATACTTGGTACGTGTACGTATATCTAAATACAAATTGTACCTTGTCCTCATAAATTTTGTTCGGAAATTTTGCCGTTCGTATTAAAGAGGCTACACTGTAATTAACTGTTTTTATACTGTAATCAATTGTAATAATATTGTAATAAACTGTAATTAAATTGTGATTACTGTATATTGTTTTATACACATCTTTGAAAATAATACTTAAAAAACAATATTTTTGGAGTGATATTGATTATTTTTTTTTTTTATCTCGGTATGTTTATTTTCTTCCACTTTATGCCTCAGAAAATTAAGGCTGTGGTTTATGAGAGAAAAATACTATAATCTATTGTATTAAAAATGTGTCCTGTGAAAAAACAATGGTATCTAATTCTTCTCCACATTAGGAGGTAATGGATTTATTTTTAAAAAAAAAAATCAGCGATGAACTTTCTACTCCTACTCTTAATGATTTTCAAACGACATGTTTTTATGTACTGATATGTTATAGAAATTTTTGGATATTTTGTATTTTATATATGACGAAATTCACTGTTGGGAATTCAGAATGCTGTTTTTGAAATACATGTAGTTAAATTGTTATGCAAGAATTGAAAGCATCCATTGTTTCTGGAATTATGACAGTAACCTGGCATAATAAAATAGTATGAGTGTACTAAATATTGAATAGCCTATAAATTTTTAATGATGAACCACACTTTAGACTGTTTTAATTATTTTATTTATATCTGATTTTTTATCTCTCTCTCTCTCTCTCTCTCTCTCTCTCTCTCTCTCTCTCTCTCTCTCTTGGCTTTTTTGTTTGTGTTTGTGCTTTGTTTGTTTGTTTTGTTTTTTATGTGTATGTTTGTTTCTGTATGGCTGTTTTGTTTTGTTTCTGTTTTCGCTTTTTTTGTTTCTTCTTTGTACAAAACATGATGAATGAACATTAGAAAGATGATTTTTTTAAAATAACAGTGTTAACTATTAATTCTCCATAGATATGAATATGGAGAACATTATGCACACTTTCTTAAATTTTCAAAACCTATTTTTATTGTAGATTACAATGTCCATTCCTTCATGTAGCTATATATAGAATATATATATTGATAATCATTGTCCTTAATAATTTGGATTTTTTATGTAATATACAGTCTACATTATTCATTTTACGCAGATGTTATTCTCAATTTTACTTAATACGAATTAGCATCGACTTGTCTTCTTCTATTAGAACTATATACATGTACTTGTTAAAGGACTTATCGCATGTTTCTAAATTATTTGAAATTAAAAGCGTAAAAGTTCCTTATGACCACAGTTTATAAATTTTGTGTTTTTACTGCGGATAAACCGCGTTAATTAAACAATTATTGACTCAAATGAAAACCCCTGAATTAAAAATCTAATTTAATTAGATAGCGAACACGTGACCCTGTGAGGTCAAAGGCGACAATGGCTGATCAGCTCTTCACGTAAATCTTACTAAAATATACGCGATACAACCTGAATTTTCTGTGTTATGGACGGCAAAATCACTGATTTTATCGATACGATATCCAATCTTATATTTTAGAATTGTCAGCAAGAAATAATCTGAAAAATCCGTTAACATTGTAAAAATAGCAGCGACGATAGCGAGGGAGACGCGGCGAAGACGAAGAAACTCGCCATCAAAATACAATTTGATTTGCGTCATTTTATCAAGTATTAACTTATTTGATTCACAAATTTAATATTACATAACTTTGTTATTCTTCGTTTTTAACATAATATTGATTTATGCAAGTATGCTTTCATATGTTTTGTAAAGGATGGCGGTCTTGAAAAATAATTTTTCGATCACGAAACATTGCCGTAATCAGACCTACAGATTCTAAATGTTTGGAATAAAAAACGAAATATCTCAAAATTCTTATACCTTAGAACTAGTTAATGTTTCTATAGTAATTGAAAATCACGTTAGGAATTATTTTTTTCAGCATTTTTTATAATTAAGCTGCATTTGTCGTTGATAACTTCGAAAATAGTGTGCAACGTCTCATCTCTCTATCACTGAATTGTCGCCTATGACGTCAGAGCAGTATTTCGCCGAAATCCGACTGAAATATGCATATTGCCATATTTGAATTTCAACTCTCAATATCACTTAAAATATGCTTTCAACAACGTTTATTTTATTCAGAATTTTAATAAACAAGGTTGTAGATAATATTTTTCATAAAATTAAGAATTTTGAAAAATCATGCGATAAGTCCTTTAACATTAAACTATAAATGCCTTGTGGTTAATCTTAATATTTGAACAAAAGTTTAGTCTAAAATTTAATTAAAAAAACAAAAAACAAATATGAAACATCTTAGTTGAATTGTTTATTTCCTTGATTTCATGTATGCATGTTATAAAGAATGTAGATTTCACTTGAAAGAACTCAAATAGTTTTTAAAAAATTAAATTCAATCATGAATTAAAATTCAAAGCAATTTAATCTCTTATTTTCTGAGATTTGTAATTCTTGTGATTTTTTCATAGATATATTCTATAACATTAAACACTAAAAAAGTTTAATTTTTAGGCCTAAATTTTGGGAAGATATATATATATATATATATATATATATATATATATATATATATATATATATATATATATATATATATATAGACTTTAAGAAAAATCCAATTTTTGATACAGTAAAACACTGATATATCCAATGAAAAAATCAAGAATCACAAGACTCGAATGATCATTTTAACTGTAAGCGCTTTCTGCCTTTTAATGGCTCTTCAGACAGTTACAAAATGAATATGAAATTGCTTAGTAACGTTCATAATCACGACGTCAATTATTGTCCTTTGTGACGTCATAATAACTTTAAAAAGTAGCATCATAATTCGCACAGTTACAATCACTTATAAATAAAAACAAATAAAAAATTAAGTAGAAAATTAACTCTGAAGCAATCATTTTCTGTTAAGTTTTTGGTTAAATAATTTAATAAAATTATATATGTAAGTATATGTATGTATATGTAAGTGATTATGGGTAAAAGTTGTTAATCATAGTTTACAAGTTGTGAAACAATAATTTTGAGAAAAATTGACGTTTTACAATTATAGAAAATTATATTTTTCATTATTATATTCCTCACAAACAAAGTTTTTTGGGGTCCTACTGTCTGTTCATCTGTCCGTTCCAGGCTTTAACTTTGTAACGCAGAATTATTCAGAGCTTATACTTAAGCTTCGTACAAAAATTATTTATGACCAGAGGATGTGTCCAGACCTTAACTTATGGTCATTCTGGCAAGTTCAGGGTCACTGGCCAAAAAGGTTTGAATATAACTTCCTAATGAAAAAAAAAAAAAAAAAAAAAAAAAAAAATTGAATTTAATACCTCATACAAAGATTGTTTCTGATCTGAAGGTGTGACATGACCTTGATTCAAGTAATTTTATCAAGTTCAAGGTCATTTCCTGACCATATCTTTTAATTGAGAACATAAGAACCTCAAAACTATTACAAATATTGCAAGCGACCTGAAGGTATCTCTTGCCTTTCACCAAAGTTTAAGGTCCTTGGAAAATAATATACTACTTGTGTCCGGATTGTAACTCTCAAACTGAGGCAAATTAGAATTTGGTACTTGACACACAAATTGCTTATGACTTAAGGAGGCTGGGGGGTCAACAAATTAACCACAAATTAACCACCAGATTTAACTTAATTTTTTAGATATGATATCTTAAGCTGTCAACTATCATTTGGCAAAGAAAAAATTCAAAAATTTTAGTTTTAAAATTTGATCATTTTCTATATCTTCATATGGAGCTCTTCTTCTAAAGGAGATCAATATAGTCTAAAAATGGCCACAACCCCCCAGCCTCTTTAAGGGTGAATCATGATCTGATCCGAAGTCATTTTGGTAAATTCAAGCCACAAGCTGAAAAAGAGTGCAATATATATCCGCTCTAGATCTCTAACTTTCTAATAAAAAAACCCATTGGAAGTTCATATTTCACATAAATATTACCTATGTCCTATACATATGTCATGATCCTCACTCAATGTCATTTCTCCAAGTTCAAGGTAACTGAAGAAATTTTTTTAAAATATGCATTTTTTCTAATGAATAAATATTGAATGTTGAAACTTCAAAGATCATCTGTGAACTGAAGGTATGAAATTTTGATAAGAAAAGCTCACTTGAACCTTCAGCTCAGGTGAACTAAAAAGTTCAAAGATGATTGGCGTTTTACCTAGATCCCAAATGTTGGTGTTGGAATAGGTATCTCGAGCGTTGGATTGAAATATATTTTCATCTGTTCGGGTGAATGATCGTTTATTATGGCTTTCTTGACCTCAAAAGGATTAAAGTTGGAAAAGTTAGAAATCAAGTTGGTAATTTAAACTTCTAAGTTGATAAAAGCCAAGATTAAATTTGTTACTTCCAATTCTAAAGCTGAAAAAGCCGAGATGTAATTTGGAAAAGCCACGATTAAAGTTGAAAAAGACAAGATTAAAGTTGAAAAAGCCAAGATTAAATGTGGAATTTGAGTGAAAAAATACAACATGGCACTAATACACTTCTGCAGCATTCAAGTAGTCTTAAATATTTGTTATAACACTCGTACTTGCAACGATGCATTGACTTGTAACAATCAGACATAGATCTATATGTTTGTATAAAATTTAATACACGGATTAAAAATATATGGGAAGTACATGTATTCATCTTCCAAGCCAAATCCAGTAATAATGTATTTTTAAAAAAAAATATATGTATATGTAAATTAATCATCCTTGGTTTATTTTTCTCTAATTGCGCGATATTATGATGTCCCATAATAAAGACATTGCTACATGAAAGAAATAGATCACTTGGATCCTTTCCTTGGTTTTATTATAAATGTAAGTTTTTTCTCTTCCTTTGATCATACTTTTTTGTATTATACATGTATTTATTAACACATACTTTTTCACTTGCTCTGTCTATTGGTTGAGGCTATCTGGTACCGTTTGCAGGGTGGCTGGCAGGAGTTATCTCTCCATAAATGTGTACGAGTTATCTCGCATTACAACGGTGATAACCATGAATTTGTACCCTTATTAAAAAGTTCCACATCAATCGTTCTCCATGAAGTTTAATGTTAATTTGATATGTAAAACGTAATAATTAAGAAAAAGAAAGGCCTCTAATTGCTGATTAGGAGCATATAGTGCATTCGAACTTGGGGGTGGAGGGGGAGAAGTATCGTCACAATCATTTTAACATTATATAATATTCACTTGAAAAGAAAGAGGTCTTACAGAGCCCCCCCCCCCAAAAAAAAAAAACAAACAAACAAACAATGTATGATGAAGTTTTTTTAACATTATTTAATTATTTTATATATATATATATATATTATTTTATGTACATATTTATTTTTATTTATTTATTTTTGTAAATATACACCTTTTGTTTATCACTCGAGACTGCGATGTTTTCAGTTACCTTTTGTTGTTATTCTTTTCTTTTGACAAATGTTCACTCGCTTTGTCATTCTCGCAGGCATGGCACGATAGCCTAACGTCTTTCGTCTTGAAATTGAAATTCTTATAAATTAAAGTACAAAAATTTAGGGAATTTTGAATTCCCCTCCATGTATCAGCGAATATTTATTTACAATTTAATCGAGGGTCGAAATTAAGTGTTTTTGAATGTCTCCAAGTTATTAACAGTTCTCTCTGTCTCTCTCTCTCTGACAGTAGTGAACCCCTGCCTTAATCCGTGCTTGCTGTGTTCTACATTTAATCTAATTTTCAAACACTCTTTGTTAGCTTTCTAGTTATCATCTTCTAATTCACCGGAATTTTTTCTGTTTTTTTATTTAA